GGGGGGGGGAGGGGAGTGTCGCAGTCCTCTGTTAACTGCGACAGAAAGACCTCCACTACCGTAAGCAGTGTAGGTAGCCTGTAGGAGGCGTGGGAAGTAATGGTCTACCTGTCGTGCTTGTGTGAGGCCATCGTCAACCACCAGCGGGCGTGGGCGCTGTGACTCCCACGGGATATCCTCAATAAGCTACAATTTACATTCCCAGCTTGGGATCACATTCCCAGGGATTATATCGTCATAGCCTCGACGCCCTTGTGCAGTCCGGCACACCCACGCCACCACTACCCTGCGGCAGGCACGTAAATATGCACGTGCACACAGTCACGAGCACGACAAGGGTATGACATCTCAGCCACTCTCCTGCGAGACGAAAGATGTAAAATATTGTAAAAAAAAAAGATAACCTTTGAATCATCCTCCATGAACTCAACATCTTTTATTCTTGACTAAAATCCTTCAACATCATGTGATTCACAACTTTTCAATTAACTTCCGTTCTCCCTTGTCACTCTTACATCAAGGAGGGACGTCGGACATGCACGTTCATCTGTGTCCCTGAAAGTGGAAATTGGCACAACTCAGCACCTCAGCAGGGGAGGCGTGGCCATGCGGGTCCACCTGGTGGTCTCAGGTTATGAGACGACGAAGATTATGAGTCACGTTCGTGATTGTGAGTCACGAAGAAAATACGGTATGGTTTGTTGGCTGCTTCAGGCTCCAGCTGCATATGTTAGTGTATTGTCTTGATGCGCTGTCCTCAGCTTCATGGTGATACAGAAAACTTAGCTCAGACTTAATGATGATAGTGTGTTACAAGTGCAGAACACAGGACACGTCTAAGATTTTGCAGCAAGAGCAGTGAGCCCGAAGAACACCATCACCATCAACACACTCTTCCCTGTCACTCCTCTCCGTCCTCCTATCTTTCCTAAGACTTGTGCAGTCTTCGTTGTCCCCGTATAGTCATCCTTTCTCGTATCTGGTCAAACAGTGTGCGCAGTTTCAGTCATTCCATCTCTCTCCGCGTCCTTCCATAATATTAAAGCGTTTCTCTCTCACCCTTACCCCTTTTACACAATCTTTCCTGCTCCTCTCTCCGCCAGCTAAGACATCCAACAATCCTCGTTGGCCCCAGCAGCCAGCCTTGGTGCCTCCAGTTCGACAAGGCCGTTGTGGTGATAGTGAGGCTTCCGCCGATGATCGAGTCTCTGACAAATGTCTGTGATTTGTTGCTGGCGAAGGACGACTGCAACTCTGGGAAATATGTGAGATCGTCCTGAATTGCACACATAATATAGCTCGAGCTGTCATTACCTCCCGACGAATCATCTTGGTTACAGTTGGAAAAAAGGACGCCATTGAAGTTGGGTTCAAGCCATTGGCTGAGGTGCTCCAAGGGGGGTGTTTACACTAGAGGAAGTAAAAGTGTTCTGGGGATCATTGTTTGTCCCTCTTGCTCCTCCTGCTGGTCCTGCCGCCAGTATGTTTTGTTGTTGCTTCTGTTAGTACTATGCTCCCTTTGCCGTTGTCGCTGGTCCCATTTTTGTCTTTAACATTGCTGTTTATGTACCCGTTACCACTTTTGTTGTTACTGTTTGTGTTGCTGTCTGTGTTGGCCAGTCAAACAGCCAAGGCCAGCATGAGAATGACGCGGCTTGTCTGAGGAGCCCGTAGGTGACTTTTATTTCTACCTGAATCACTGACTACTGACGGAGAGACTCTGGTGCTCCCTCGGGCGTCTCCTGGTGATCATCTGCGTCACGAGCTGCTGTCAGACTCTCTTGCCTCGTCCCTCACAGTCTTCTGATCCTGCGTAAAATTTAAAAAAATGAAGAGCAAACAACTGACTTTCTTCAGGTGGCTAAACATTTGAATGAATTAATATACCATTAAAGTAAAATAAAATAAAGAAACACTCATACACACACACACACACACACACACACACACACACACACACACACACACACACACACACACACACACACACACACACACACACACACACAATGAAAAATTAACTGAAGAAACATTTTTTGTTGTACCCAGACACCCATGATACACCGATGTAAATCATGTGGCTTTTAAAGACCAGTAGCGGTGTCCTCGCTACTCGCTACACGGAACTGGAAGGGTCTTGGTCGCCTTCACTGGTGTTCACTATCCTTCCAGTCTACTGGATAGAAAGACTGAGTCAGACCTCACTTCAATAAGCACAGTCCAATGGAAGTCGCTGTAATAGAGACTGTTTTCTCTCCTTCAAATCAGTGGAATATGAATTGATCTGGAGTGCACTTGTCCTCCAGTGGAAGGAAGATGAGGAATACAGTCCACTTGACGCTGCTGGAGTCTAGTCTAAAACTCACCCAGAACAGAACCAACTTCTTGTAGCTCCAGTCTCTTGAAAAATGTAACTAAGATTGTGTTGATTTTCTTAGTTGAGGAACTGGGTTGAGGTTTTGTTGTTGTTTTTGTGGCTGATGGCTCGAGGGCAGAGCACGTGAGGTGGGAGTGGCTTAAATAAAAAAGTAGATAATGGAGAATCAAAGAAAGACATAGGAAGTCAATTGTAAGAATTCATGGAAGAAAACCTGATAAAAATAGAAAAAAAAAAAACATCCCAAATAGATAAACTCACATTCAGTGGACAGATAAATGCGAAATTCGATATACAGGTACACAGGTATACAGGTACACAGGTACAATAATAATAGAGGTGAGTAAACTTCCTGAAAGAACTGGCCAGGGTCTAGTGGGGGTGGAGGGAGGGGGGGGGAGAAGGGGTAGGAGGGTCCAGGAGGCACACATGAGCAGGTCTCTGGATGTCGTGCTGGAATTTAATGATGATGAGGAACCTGGTAGTAATGGAATACTCTTCCAGGGTGAGACACTGATGTGAATAATAACAATGGAATCAGTCGTATAAACAGTCAGGAAGCCGCAGTAATCAAGGAAATGTATTCTGGAGGATAACACTAGAGCAGTTACTGTGTTGTGAAAGGGACTGGACTGCCATATTACGTTAGAATTTATAGTGAAAGACAAAAACCCGCACAGGTAGATAGCGAAGGTGCAGGAGCAGAAAGATGATGCGTCCGGGAAGTCAACTTGGGAGAGGTGGATAGGTTGAGTGGATGGTGGGTATATGTCTGAGTGGATGGTGGGTATATGTCTGAGTGGATGGTGGGTATATGTCTGAGTGGATGGTGGGTATATGTCTGAGTGGATGGTGGGTATATGTCTGAGTGGATGGTGGGTATATGTCTGAGTGGATGGTGGGTATATGTCTGAGTGGATGGTGGGTATATGTCTGTGGTGGGTATATGTCTGAGTGGATGGTAGGTATATGTCTGAGTGGATGGTGGGTATATGTCTGAGTGGATGGTATATGTCTGAGTGGATGGTAGGTATATGTCTGGAGTGGATGGTGGGTATATGTCTGAGTGGATGGTAGGTATATGTCTGAGTGGATGGTGGGTATATGTCTGAGTGGAGGTGGTGGTGGATGGTGTATATGTGGATGGTGGGTATATGTCTGAGTGGATGGTGGGTATATGTCTGAGTGGATGGTGGGTATATGTCTGAGTGGATGGTGGGTATATCTGGAGTGGATGGTGGGTATATGTCTGAGTGGATGGTAGGTATATGTCTGAGTGGATGGTGGGTATATGTCTGAGTGGATGGGGTATATGTCTGAGTGGATGGTAGGTATATGTCTGAGGGATGGTGGGTATATGTCTGAGTGGGTATATGTCTGAGTGGATGGGGTAGATATATGTCTGAGTGATGGTGAGTATATGTCTGAGTGGATGTGGGTATATGTCTGAGTGGATGGTGGGTATATGTCTGGAGTGGATGGTGGGTATATGTCTGGAGTGGATGGTGGGTATATGTCTGAGTGGATGGTGGGTATATGTCTGAGTGGATGGTGGGTATATGTCTGAGTGGATGGTGGGTATATGTCTGAGTGGATGGAAGGTATATGTCTGAGTGGATGGTAGGTCTATGTCTGAGTGGATGGTAGGTATATGTCTGAATGGATGGTAGGGTATATGTCTGAGTGGATGGTGGGAGGCGTCTCAGAGCATCACTTGAAGGAGCTTGAGAGTCTTACTGGAAGCCTCAACTCACAAGACAGGTGTTGGGGGAAAGACAGACCAGACCAGCACATTGAAAGGGCATGTAGATGAGACTCATGGAAAGGGCAGGAGGGAGACTGGACTGGAAGGGAAAGGGGGAGATTAGCTTGGAAGGGGTGGTGTGGGGTGGAAGGGAAACCAGAACTACAACACTGGCACCAAGAGACAGACGTTTAGGAAAAAAAATAAATAATAATAATTCAAATCTCTTCCACCACTCACATCAACACCACCATCACCACTCAGATCACCATCACCATCATCACCAACAACAACATCATTTACATTACCAACCACCATCGCCACTCAGAATACCCCCCTTCCCCCCTATCATCACCAATCATCACCACCAACCATTATCACCAACCATCACCACCACCTCACACCACTAACATACATATGAAATCTCACTATGATTTACATCGCGGTAATATCATAAATAAAGGTATAATTTCTCCAGTGCATTGTCAAGCGAGTCATCGTCCATCAACTCACAGGAACAAAAAAAAAAAAAAAAAGAAAAGCAGTTGCAGTTGTGCTGGGGGTGGGGGTGCGGTCAGCGTAAAGATCAAGGTAGTGTGAGGCGCGGCACTTTCCCTCAACACACACACACACACACACACACACACACACACACACACACTCACCTTTATGAGTAGCTAGTGTGAGGTGCCAGATACTATGGTTCCCCACTGATAGTTTTCAAACAACAAGTCACTTATAACCTCTCGTAGTGGTGTCCTAACGTGTGTGTGTGTGTGTGTGTGTGTGTGTGTGTGTGTGTGTGTGTGTGGTGGGGAGGTGTGTCGTGCCGCCGGTGTCCTCACTACACACAATAATATAGTGGTTTTCTTCTTACAGGTCAGACGCTTCAGGCAGTCGCTCAGCGTCCTCCCCGCCGACGTGTGTCCCCGCCCCTTCCTCAACGACTCCGGCCTCCCCAGACGTGTGTTTTGGTCCCCTTCACGTCGCATCCTCTCCTCTACGTCACTTCCCCACCTCTACGTCGCTTCCCCACCTCTTCGTGTCACATTGTTACTTTTACGTCGCATCCACACACTATCTACGTAGCATCCCCTGCCCTCAGATGTGCTCCTTGGGCTCCTGTACGTCACATCATCTTGCCGTAACTTTGTCTCGCTGCAACTCTGACGTTCATGTTGGTCCTCGGTGCCGAGTCCCCCCCCACCACCTCCTCAACGTATACATGGTGTCCTCCTCCCACAACGTCCTCGCCCGTTTGACGTCACTTCATCCCTCATCTGACGTAACTTCGTCGTTCTGACGTCACATTCCTGCCCTTTACTGGCTGCACGATTTCATCCTTCTAACATAAAAACAGCCTCACCCTGCGTCATCATCCAGAGCACCCAGTATGTCGTGTCCTCGGCCCGTGGAGCCTTCAGCGCTGCACGTGGCGGCCCGCCCCGTGCCCACCAAGCCTGCACGACTTCTGTGTCCCGACACCACCCTCAGCCGCTTGCGACGTCCGCACAATACCCTCCTCGACTCACCGAAAATGGGAGTCACTTGTCCAGATCTTCGACCCATTGAGAGAGTGACGGACCATACCAACCAGGAGGGACCGACCCCCGCCTCCGACATGCCTTTTGATCTTTCTAAATCCGGCCGAGAGTCGAGTATGGCCTCAGCATCCCGACCGCTCGACCTCTCCGACACCGACCAACCACTTGACCTCAGAGTGGACTTTAAAAAACGGCGGACAATGGAGGATGAAAACATGAACCTTGTGACGAGTCCTGGTCGGAGTTCACCTCGCGAGGCTCCCGGACTCCAGGTGTCCTTGCCTCAAGAGTCCCCGGCCCCTGCTCTCCCTTCCCCGTCATCCTCAGGGCGTTCAGAGTCCCCAACATCCTCGGACCGAATCACAAGACGAGTGGCGGATTGTTCAAGCCTGGCCTACCCGGTACCTCACAGCTTGACCCCCACGGCACCGATGCCGCTCCTATACCCGAGACCCCTCCCACCTTCCTCCCTCCTCTACGCCTCCGTCAGCAAGGAGATGCAGTTTTCACATCTGGGGACACGTCCGGGGCTAACACCTCCCCACTACTCCCTCATACCTTTCCCTGGTCGTACCTACCCGTATCCCCTGGTGAGGGGCTACCCGTCCCTCACAGGCCCTCACAGGCACCCGGCGCTGTATGAGGCCCTCAGTGAACGCCGTCCTGCTGAGAGTTCTATCGCGGTAGGTGGTCTGGGACATCACTCTAAGCCTAGAGAACGATACTCGTGCAAGTTCTGCGGCAAAGTGTTCCCGCGATCAGCAAACTTGACGAGACACCTGCGGACTCACACAGGTGAGCAGCCCTACAAGTGTAAGTTCTGTGAGCGGTCGTTCAGCATCTCGTCCAACCTGCAGCGTCACGTGCGGAACATTCACAACAAGGAGAAGCCTTACAAGTGTCGCTTGTGTGAGCGAGCCTTCGGCCAGCAGACCAACCTCGACCGACACATGAAGAAACACGAGTCAGACGGACCCACTATCCTGGACGGCGGACACCGACGGCTATTACTTCCTAAACCTTCCCATGAGAGCTGGAGAGGGCCGGCACCGCCACCTCTGACACCCATTTCCTCACACTCAGCCCTCAGCCACTCCCTTAGTGCCTCCCTCTCTGCCTCTCTCTCCGCCTCCTTCACTCACTCCACCTTATCTCCTCCCACTGACATTCGTACGTATTCACCAATCCAATCACCTCCTCCAGAAGTCCAAGACGAAGAGGAAGAAGACATTGATGTTGAGAATGAAGACGAGGAAGAGGAAGAAGAAGAGGAAGGAGATGGGTGTGGTGAAGATAGACAAGTCTCGTGCGAAGTGACCATCACGCCTGCCTCCATCAACACCGAAACTGCAGCCTCTACCGCCGCGGGGGACAACATGGTGGAGGTGTGAGGGCCGCGAGAACCTCACGTGTTGCTGAAAAGATGGTGCAAGTGTTGGGCATCTTGTGAGAGCCACCGTATACCGGCAACAGAGTACAAGTGTAGCCAGATCCTCAGTACAGATATATAAGGATCCTACAAATACCACAACCAATGTCAACACAGCCCTGGTCTGTGTACTGGCAGCTGTACAAGTCACCTCCTCATATTAGTTCCTCAGTGAAAATTACAAATGTTTGAGGTTCCTGCAAATTCTACCTGTAAACATGGTACAAGTGAAAGACAAAACCTGTTAACTCTTTAATATTAACAAGTAGCTACAGGTGTCATGAATACCAGGCGGTCTCTCGTCTTCACAAGCTACAAGTAAGTAAGAGGAAGTGTTCAACAGACCCACGTGTCAAGAATCCTACCGAATCCTCCCAAGTTATGATGGAACAAGTGTGCTGTAGGTTTTGTAAATCCTGATCGTTAACAAAAAAAAAGAATCCTCAAGGTGTTAGAAGTTCTTATATACAATTGTGAAGGTATTTTGCAAGTGCCTCGTGCTTGGCCGGAGTGTCATGTGGGTGTGGACGAACGCTTCTATTTTTGTCAAGTGTGTAAGACTGTGAAGCAAGAATAGTTATTTGTTACAATAAAACGTCACAGCGAGTGTTGCTGCTGACGCGGTGACAAGCATTATGCTTCTGTCGAACTGACGCAAATTGTTACAAAAACCAAACAAAACAAGAAAACTGTTCAATTTATCGTTCATCTTCCTATTGTGTGCTGTTGTAAAGATACATAATACGACATGTAGTTAGAAACAATGTGTTGTCTCAAATGTATCTTGTGTACTTATGTATTACTGACTGAATATAAAGTTTAATAAAGAGAAGGAAAAAAAACGTTAAAATCACGAGAAAAAAAAATAACAATCTGAAAATATATTTTTAACTTCTATTGACTGGTGATAAAATATACTGGATGAAAATAAGTGAAAATGCAATAAGGGAAAAAATAACTGACCTGACCTGTTGCAAATTCCCTGACGAAGCAAAGGTGAAAAAGCTCTGAATTCCCTGATAAATCAAGTGCATAAAAAAAAAAGTCGATTATCTGGGAAACACCACGAAATATTGCGAGAGTGTTGAGGTGATGAGAAATATGAGGTGTTAAGGTGTGTCTGTGTGTTTCTCATCATATTGAACCCGAAATAGAACCGAGATAAATAATTAATAAAGGAAGGTGAACAATTAATGAAGATGTTTCTTGAAATTATAATATAGTTTCGTTCATTAATGTGGCGAACTACAATGAAAATGAAAAGTGACGAAATATAATGAAAATAAAAAATAGCGAAAGTTAACGAAATAGAAAAATTACGAAATTAAACGAAAAAAACGAAAAGAAAAGAAATAAAGTGAAAAACATCATATATCTTAAATGAGAATTATTATGGTGATAACATTACGTGAAAAGGAAATTATTGTAAGCTATTGTAAACTGACGGTAAATATGTATTGTAAACCACACATAAATGTAAAAAAAGGGTGTAAACTCATTCGATTATTATAGAAAGATGTTGTATAATTGACCAAATGTTAAATTAATAATGTTAGTTTGCATGTTTGTAATTTTTTGATATAATTGGCGAATGTTTAGTATAATTTGGCGATGATCGTGAGTATAATTCGCGGAAGTGTTGAGGATATTGTATATACGAGTAAATAAATAAATTACCTGTTGATTAGATTTTTTGCTAAGGTGAAAAAAGCCGCAAGTCTGACGATAGTTCGTTCCTGTGCGGATATTTGGCGGGTAGCGGGTATCTATGTCAACTGCCGATACGTGAAGGTTTGCGGGTATAATAGTTAACTCGCTCATGTACAGTTCGCGGGTATTATAATCTGTGGATAATCCCAAACACATCCGCAACTCACTTCTTGAGGATTATTATCGGGTAAAGACGTAATCCGCGGATATGTGGGTAATTTGTGGATGTAACTACTCGCTGGTATAGATGTACTCAGCGGATATGGGAATTATTTACAGGTATTTTGCGGATATGTTAATAATTCGCGGGCATACAAGTCAACCCGCGGATACGTGAATATATAATCCGGGGGTGTGGCTGAGTGGGTGACCCTCACAAGTGCCGGCGACCGTGAGAGAATAATGAGGCCAATCCTGTAATTACTGGGCTCTTGTGCTCTGTGCTCACGTGCTCTGTGCTCACGTGCTCTGTGTTTCGTGCACATGTACTCTAAGGTCACGAAGTAGTGTGAACACGTGCTCAGAGCTTCGTGTTTATGTGGCTCACGTGCTCAGAGTTTCGTGTTTATGTGGCTCACGTGCTCAGAGTTTCGTGTTTATGTGGCTCACGTGCTCAGAGTTTCGTGTTTATGTGGCTCACGTGCTCAGAGCTTCGTGTTTATGTGGCTAACGTGCACAGGTGTTCCGTGTTCAGTAACTACCTTGCAATAAGAGGCTAATTACAGGTGGGAGAGATGTCTGAACAGCATGCTGGACAGGTGTAGACGAGGCATGTGTTTATGAATGACTTTAAAGCTTAAACTTGAAAATCCATCCTGGAATCTAAACCTCCATCTTGAAGCTTAATCTTGAATCATAGTCTTGAAGATCAGTTTTAAAGCACAGTCCTGCACCTCACTCCTGAAGTTCGATAGGAGACGCTTACACTGTTGCGACCTGACAGAGAGCTAGGAGGGAGGGAAGGGCTGCCTCCTTCACCTACACCGTCAGGGCTGCTGCTCACGGCTTCTCCCTCACCGTGAAAGTACAAGAAACTCCGATATATATAAATATATTTGTATTCTATCTCTCAAATCATGATCATCAGTAATACATATTTCCTTGACCTGTATAGCGTTAAACAAGAAGAAAGAACTTTTATTATGTATATTTATAAATATTCAAAAAAAAATATGTGCATTTGATAATATATATAGATTTATATTTTCTATCTGTCAACGTTAATTATGTGTTTTCCATGGACAGTATACGATTAGAACTGTAAAAATAATCCCCACTCTTACTCCTTCTCTCTCTATATATATACATCAAAATGACAGAATCAATTGTATTTCCCTGTTGGCCCGTTACTTCAGACCTTCAACACCTCTGAATCAGTCATGTGGACGACTCACGTATTCGAATGCAATTTTGTGGAGTCGAAGCTTGTGGCTAGAGGATGTGACTCCACAAAATGGTAGTGGTGAGTGGACGTGTCTCTCCTTGACAACAACAAGTAGGACGCGACGGACGATGATTCAGAAGTGGCAAGACAATCTCTCTAAAAATATTTATTATCTGTGTGTAATTATTAATGGTTGATCCCGTGGGAGTTGGTGACTTTCATCGACTCATCTGATTTTCTCTTTTGGGGGTATTTTATGGATAATCCTGACGATGAATTAGGGTAACTTTTATCCTAATACAATATGACGTCTTAGATAAACTTAAACCTTCCTTGTTGTTTTAATCACATTCAATACCGGACGAAAAAATAAAAAATAAACCATGATAGCGATAAGAAAATACAATACCACTACATACAACAACGAAAAAGGAAATGGCGTAGTTAGTTAATTCTATAACTACGGTTTAAAGGGGCGTTATTGTCACTAGAAGACGCGTAGCTGACTGACTATACCGCTTGGGGAGAGGAGGGGGGAGGGGGGGAGGGAGGGAAGATATCATGGTAATTCCTGTTGTTTTTACTGTTTTTATTCTTTCTCTTTTATTGGTAGTTTAAGGCATGTCAGTAATTTTTTTCTTTAACATGTCAAGTGGATTCGTTTTATCATATCAATAAGGTAATTTTATCATGTCACTTGAGCTGCTATCATGTTAATTAAGCTCATGTCATGTCAGTTAAGCTCCTATCATGTCAATTGAGCTCATATCATGTTAATTAAGCTCATATCATGTTAATTGAGGTCATTTTATCATGTCAATTAAGGTCATTCTATCATTTCAATTGAGATCCTTTTGTCATGTCAATTGAGGTCATTTTTATCACGTCAATTGAGCTGCTATCAAGTTAATTGAGCTTTTATCATGTCAGTTGAGCTCCTATCATGTCAGTTGAGCTCCTATCATGTCAATTGAGGTCATTATATGATATCACTTAAGGTCATTTTACCCTGTTAAGTGAGCTCCTTTCATGTCACTTTAGCTGCTATCATGTCAATTGAGCTTCGTTATGTCAACAAACCCCCTTTTTACCATCAATAAGTCTCATTATCCTTTATTTCTTGTAGGATTATGAGTCTTACACCATCCTTGACTATGGCTTTACCTTAGTTCACCCTCCTTCACCTCTTATAACACACGGGCCATCTCAGATCTCACTCTGTAAAAAAAATATATATATAAATTCTGTTTTTGTTACAAAATATTTATATATATATAAAGAATCTGTAGATATGTAATTATGAAAGTTAGAATGATTAAAATGGCAAAGTACTAATGTGTTTTATTTACTTTTTGGACTGAAGTCGAAGGAATGTCTAGGGAACTGTGCGGGATGAGATGAAATGTGATTAAGAGACTTTCTCGATGTGATGAAACAGTTCTTTTATTTTGTTAGTTAATTCTCTCCATATCTATGTTTGTCATTCATATTTCTTAGTATTTCTATGTATTTAATTTGTTTACTTCTGTGTAATGCTAAGACTTACATCTATAAATATTAACCAACGCTCATAAATTGTATGTTTACTTAGTAGATATTTAGCCTACAAACTCTGAAACGATTGACTGACCTACAACTTTCCAATACCATCCTACACAGTTCTATCTATTTACATGTAAGTACTTGACAGACTTTACCGGTATTTACATTCTTATATTTATTGCCTAAACTGTATCCGTACTTTACAATGGGATCATCTAACACAGTTCCTACTTTGTTTATATTTACCCCCACGAACTTGCTAACTGCCTTTCTTACTAAGTAACTTGGGGCATTAGACTAAACAAACTCTATTAATTAAATGTATTGGTATAGTGATTTTATTAACAGGTAATCATAACATCACCTGGAGATGATCATCCACCCCAAAAAATGGAAACTTATTTGTGGGTAAAAATATGCAAATAACTTCTTCTTTTTTTCTTGTCACACTGTTTTGCTGTTTTTGTTTGAGTAATTGTGTTTGTCTGTGTCATTGTTGGCTTGAGTGTGTGTGTATGTGTCATTGTTGGCTTGAGTGTGTGTGTCTGTGTCTTTGTTGGCTTGAGTGTGTGTGTCTGTGTCTTTGTTGGCTTGAGTGTGTGTGTCTGTGTCATTGTGAGTTTTTATGCCAGTGTCTCCTTTAAGTGTGTCTCTGTAAGTGTAATTCCATTTAAGTGTCTGTGTAAGTGTAACTCTCCTTAAGTGTCCGTCTAAGTGTGGTCTCATGAAAGTGTGTCCTTAAGTGTGTCTGTGTAAGTGTACCTTTGCCTAAGTGCACCACTATAAAAGTGCTTATATAAGTATGACTTTATGTAAGTGTACTTGCTTGAGCATTTAAGTGTGTCGCCATGTAAGTGTGTATAAGTGTGTATTTATATAAGTGTATGTATCAAGCAGGTGTTTGTCTCTATAAGCACGTATCTATGTAAGTATGTTTCTATGTAAGTGTGTGTCTTTGTAAGTGATTCTGTATAAGTGTCTGCCTGTGTAGTGTGTATCTATGTAAGTGTCTACCCGTGTACGTGTATCTATGTAAGTGTCTACCCGTGTACGTGTATCTATGTAAGTGTCTACCCGTGTACGTGTATCTATGTAAGTGTCTACCCGTGTACGTGTATCTATGTAAGTGTCTACCCATGTACGTGTATCTATGTAAGTGGCTACCTGTGTACGTGTATCAATGTAAGTGGCTACCTGTGTACGTGTATCTATGTAAGTGTCTACCCGTGTACGTGTATCTATGTAAGTGTTTACCCGTGTACGTGTATCTATGTAAGTGTCTACCCGTGTACGCTTATCTGTGTAAGTGTCTACCCGTGTACGTGTATGTATTCAGACATAGGGTTAATCTCAACTAAATTCACTTGAGCTGAGGAAAGACTCATCAACCTAACGCTAACTTCTCATAGTCAGTAGAATACACATCTCGTATATAAACACACATATAAACACATATAAACACATATAAACACGTGTATCTTGAGATGAGTTTGTCCTTGTAGTTTCTTATCTTCAACAGGTAAAAAAATTAATAACAAATCACTATGTTATTTTAACCCCTGAAGCAGTATGTAAGGTGACAAATCTTCACCCTCCTCTTAGAAAACACAACACAATGACTCAGTGTTTCTTGAATTCTTATAAATATATGGTATTATTCTTCACCTCGACAGGGAAGCTGTGAACGAAACGATAATAGGAAGAACAGAAGCGAGAATTAAGAGCAAGATAATGTAATTAGTTTCAAAAATGAAGGTTAATGGCAATGAGATGTTGCGTAAAGTTGTAAAATTATAAAAAAAAATTAAATACTCAAAATACATTAAAATTATACATAAAAGTAATAATTAAGTTATTTTAAGACATCAGGTGATATTACCAAACCACTGAAACTTAATACACAATAAAATAAATAACTAGGAATATTATACAGCCATAAAATAAACAGACCATTAACAACTTTTATCATGGCAAATAAAATCAATGTTTTAATGAAGGTAAAACGAAAAAAATATTACCATACGGATTTACATATAGAAGTAGCCACGCGTTAACGATGGTTAGTAATTGTCCAGTTCACCTGTTGTGTTTACTAGTTCAGTCAGACACGAGGCGGTGAATCTTACGAGGGCATATGGTCAGTACTCTATAACCAAGTGATCGGGGAGGAGGTGGTGTGAGGGTAAGAGACAGAGTTACAATCAGATATTCATTCCTGTAGGAGTTTGACCAGTGGCTCCTGTCCCTCTCCGTCAGTAGCTGCCCCACACCTCCGTCAGTAGCTGCCTCACACCTCCGTCAGTAGTTGCCTCACACCTCCGTCAGTAGTTGCCTCACACCTCCGTCAGTAGCTGCCTCACACCTCCGTCAGTAGCTGCCTCACACCTCCGTCAGTAGCTGCCTCACACCTCCAGTAGCAGTAGTCAGTAGCTGCTCACCTCCGTCAGTAGTGGTTGCCTCCACACCTCCATCAGTAGCTGCCTCACACCTCTGTCAGTAGTTGCCTCCTCCATCAGTAGCTGCCTCACACCTCCGTCGTGTGCCTCACTCCGGTCAGTTGCCTCACTCACACAGTGTCAGTAGCACACCCTCCGTCCAGTAGCTGCCTCACACCTCCGTCAGTAGCTGCCTCACACCTCCGTCAGTAGTTGCCTCACACCTCCGTCAGTAGCTGCCTCACACCTCCAGCGAGTATACAAACAAAAACCTACAAACAAACACCGGATTTACAATAACACCCAATGGTAAGGACTTCCATGTTGTTGTTTTGATCAGCTGATGTTTTTTTTTTGTTTTTTGTGATTGTTTTCTGAATTTGTTGGGCGTGTAGGAGTTAATTATGGTATCATGTTTTTGTTTTTCGTGAAGGGAATTTTATATGTCGTAATTGTTAGGTTAGGTTAGGTTTGGTTAGATTAGGTTAGGTTAGAGGTTGGGTTAGAGGTTAGGTTAGAGGTTGCGTTAGGTTAGAGGTTGGGTTAGAGGTTAGGTTAGGTTAGAGGTTGGGTTAGAGGTTAGGTTGACTGTGGTGAGCTGTTGAGTGGAGGGTGTGTGTGTGTGTGTGTGTGTGTGGGTGTGTCACGGGCGGAGTTCTTCAGTAGTTTGATGGAGTAGAGAGCCAAGTTATCCATTGTTTCTTCACTGAGTTGGTGTAACTATTTCATATCTAGATCGACCACTTCAGAACTCGCAACCCGATGTTATGTATACAGTTCATCAATGTTATTTTGTTCAGTTTCAGTAAAAGGTTCAATTAAACTTAGATCAATATGATAGTTATACTGTAAACGAACAAAGGGGAAAATAATGTAAATGTTTGTAAATAATGTGAAAATGTGAATAGGAAAGTTGTGTAAATGAAGGTGGAATCAACTTGGCTATCAGGGTAATTTATAGCAATCAACTTCACCCAGACTAAATTTACCTTATTAAATAAAAAAAGTATAACGTCATTAAGTTCGTGGAAGTTAGGTTAAGTTAAGTTAGGTTAGGTTAGGTAAGGTTAGGATAGAGGGACTTGGAAGGAAAATTTACACACAGGTTTTTCTTACAATTCCTTCTCCTAAAGTTATTATTTCTGTCTTCCTGTCTCTCCCTTATATTCCTCTCCAGTTATATGTGAGGATAAGAGGTGAATCATGAGACACGGAAAAAAAAACTCAAGAAAGAAAGAAAAATTACAAGACAATGATGCATGAAGTATGTAGGAAAAAGGAAAGGCCAGAAATAACAAACAAACACACACACACACACACACACACACACACACACACACACACACATACACACATACATACACACATACATACACTTCCTCGTGACCTTAATTTACATATTCACTACATAAAAGGAATGCTTGACCTTCAATAGCCCACAAAAGCCTTCTGGTATTACAATATATATATGCTACGTCACCAGATTCACACTATACGAGGTTGATTCACACTATACGAGGTTGATTCACATTATACGGGGTTGATTCACACTATACGAGGTTGATTCACACTATACGAGGTTGATTCACACTATACGGGGTTGATTCACACTATACGAGGTTGATTCACACTATACGAGGTTGATTCACACTATACGAGGTTAATTCACACTATACGAGGTTGATTCACACTATACGAGGTTAATTCACACTATACGAACCAATAATCACGTTTAGTATGAGTCTGAATCACACTATTTCCCCTTAAGCGTGACCATCTCCCCCTCAAGTGCACACCTAACACTCGAACCATCACCCACATCGTCATAAATCACTCTTTCTTAATCCCTCGCCATAGTGTCATTTGTGCATATCATCCATTCCGTTATTTTGTGATTTATTTGACCTTTAACATTCTTCTTGCGTGTCTGTGTGTCTTGTTAGGTGGATTCTCTTGGTAGTTTTGGGTGTTGTAAAGGTTTGTTTGATCGTTACTGCTCATTGGTCGATTACTACTCTGATGTAGTTGAGGTTGATATGGTATGGTAACAGTAGTAATGACGTGGTAACAGTAGTAACGACGTGGTAACAGTTACAAGTCATGGTAACAGCTACACATTACTTCCAAAGCCTTCAATTAATAGCATTTTTTGAGGATAACGATCTTGTATGTAAATGGTGAGAACAGAGGAAAAAGAAAAGTGGGCGAGAAAGAGAAGGAAGGAAGGAAGGAAGGAAGGAAAGAAGGAAGGAAGGAAGTGAGAGAAAGAGTGATAGTTAAAAGAGAGAGAAAGAAGAACGAGAGAATGTGAATAAAAGAAAGGAGAGGAAGTAAAGAAAAAATAAGAGAGAGAGAGAGAGAGAGAGAGAGAGAGAGAGAGGGAGAGAGAGACTAACATAAAAATACCGCAATAAATCCTACTCCTTCCTTCGCCTTACCCGAGTCACGCAGGTAGGAGTCAGCGGGTCTCCTTCGGTAGTGCCACGCCCCTCCGGCACTCTGCAAGGGCGTGAGCTTCCTCCTACCTGGGACGCCCTTCAGAACGTGCATGACCAGCTTGTCAACGTCATGCAGTAATTATGATGTGCTTGTCACAGTTCAGGGAGATTGATGATAACTTCAAGAGTGTCGCCTTGAGAGGTGTGTGTGTGTGTGTGTGTGTGTGTGTGTGTGTGTGTGTGTGTAGCTTGAGTACACGTCAGTCATCATACATCACTGCGAGGATACCTGTAAGCGAGATACACCTGTAGAATGGACACACCTGTAGAATGGACACACCTGGAGAATGGACACACCTGTAGAATGAACTTAACCTAACATTAACCTAATCTTACCTGTAAATCCCAGATCTCAGGCACTTCTTTCTGGTACAAATTTTCCCAACACATTTCACAATAACCTCGTGAACAATTAATAGTACAGCAAACCGTTCATTTTTACCTTCCTTCTTTAATAGCAGTTTCTTCTATAGGATATGAAACAATTCTTGGGACAAATTATATAATGGGCTTTTGATATACAGTAAATAACCTCGTAAGTTAATTTCCCAGTGCATTTTGCTGAGCAGTAATGAGTAAGGCACAGTTTTGGTACAGTTACAATACATTCACGGTACATTTACGATAAAGTTACGATGCAGTTGCGTTATGACGACGGTACAGTACACGATACATTACGTTCAAGACTACAGCGCTTCGTCTCACTGCCAAAAAAAAACAAATATTTCACGAACAAGAAAAATACTGAAGAATAATACGAAAAACGAAGATATTTTTGTGTCCATTCTTGGCGAAAAATGTAGTAAGGATAAATGAATAAATAACGAAGAAGAAGAAGAAGAAGAAGAAGAAGAAGAAGAAGAAGAAACTTATAAAAAAATACCCAAAGAAAATAGGAAAAATACGATGACTTTAAAAGCAATTCAATTCCCCCCAGTTACATTATACACACATTTGAAAATACTGCTTCAAGTTAATGTATGCACTTACGACATACTTAAAGACACACTTGGAAATCTCTGATCACTTGAAGTCATACTTAAGTGTATTCCTTGCCCTAGTATCAACAGTGTGTAGGAGTGACGCTCATTCGCACTCAAGACACACTTTGCACTTATTACGATTGGCCACTCAGACTCTTGGGAACCTCGTGGGGGCGGGGAGGGAGGGAGGGGATGAGGGGAAGCACTTAAGTGTATTCAATCAGGAGTGTAAACAGAGTGTGGTGTGTGAGAGTGAATAAGACATGAGTACTCCCATTGACTTGAAGGAGTGTAAGTGTGTTGGTGGGATGAGTGTGGGTTTTCATTTCATCTCTCTCTCTCTCTCTCTCTCTCTCTCTCTCTCTCTCTCTCTCTCTCTCTCTCTCTAAATCACCCACAGCTAGACAACAAAACCTAATATGTGAAAAGACAGATAGAAAGAACAACAGACAGACACAGACAGACAGACACAGACAGACAGACAGACAGACACCCAAACAGACATAATGACAGACAAACAAGCAGAAATAAAGACAAGCAGACCGATCAAAACGCCAAACCAATCAGACATATCGACAAAGAGAGAGCAATCAGCTACAGTACTTGCACCTCCTTGACCACAAACTGTACCTGTAGTGTAATTTATTGAGCCATAATGATACCTAAACATTACCATTATATCAGGTAGTTACAATAGCAACATGTAGCAGGTACAGAGGTGTGCGTGTGTGGTGATATTAATTGGCCTTTTCTATACAGGTAGTGATGGTAAGTATTGGTGAACAAACTCTTTATAAGGGGGATTTTTAACCTTTGTGTGTGTGTGTGTGTGTGTGTCTGTGTCTGTCTGTGTGTGTGTGTCTGTCTGTCTGTCTGTGTCTGTCTGTCTGTCTGTCTGTGTCTGTGTCTGTCTGTGTGTGTCTGTCTGTCTGTCTGTCTGTGTCTGTCTGTGTGTGTCTGTCTGTCTGTCTGTCTGTGTCTGTCTGTGTGTGTCTGTCTGTCTGTCTGTCTGTCTGTTTATAGTGTTTTTTTTCTGGACTAATATGAGGTAAAGGGAATGAAAAACAGACATACATACATACACTCACACGCCTACACACACACACATACATACACTCACACGCCTACACACACACACACACACACACACACACATACACATTCTCCCATCATTTTTTGTCACTCATTGATTCTTTAACAGCTATAAGTAAATCTTCACTACTCTCCAACATCCTTCCCACAACAAGACCCTTTAAAACATGACCAGTACCTCCACCACCTCATAACACTGGCCACCATGCTATCCACTCATGCTATTCCTGGATATCCACCATTCTCACATTTTCAATATCATCATTACATCTTCTTCTTGGTCATTCACTCTCTCTCCTATCACCAAACTTTTGTCATTATTCACCATACATTATAACTAACATCATCTATGAAAATATTAAATAGTTATAGCTATATTAAACTCTTTCCGTCCTAATTATTCGGTAAACTAATTCACTTTCTCCCAAATAATACTTTCCCACTTGTTTTACTCCCTTTATAAAAATCACTATTAACCATTAAACAATTTTCTCCATTTACCTCCATACAATACTTTCCAACATCACCCTTTATTTTTTTTGTATTTACGGAATCATATGATATTTATTGATCCATAAATACTAGGAACACTTCTTCCCTTTCTCTTTTCCCGTAGAAATTTGAGATTTATGTTCCGTAAGAGACACACCTACATTACGTTTCTCCTATTACATACATACATATATCTTCTCTCTTGTCTCCCCCAGGGTTCTTCCTCAGCACTAACAACACAAGAGCAACGCCAGTGGAGGCAATCGTTCGTCCGGTTAAATCCTAGAGTACTATGCCAGTCTCCCCCTGTGAGTACAATGATTCATGTTCTTGAGTACCTTATGCCTTTGATTACAATGGCATTATCCCCCTAAGTACGATGGTATTGTACTCAGGGGGTTAAGTCCTCGTACTCAAGGGGTTAAGGGTTTTTTTTTTTAATAGTTGGTTAAAGGGGTTTTATAGTTAAGGGGGTTTGAAGGCAAGATAAGGGGTTTGATAATTAAGATAATGGAACGAAAGCTTATATGGGAGTATCTGTTTTAAGGGGACGATGATAATGACGATGACAATAACGATAATGACGACGACAATGACGATAATGACGACAATGACGATAATGACGACGACAATGACGATAATGACGACGACAATAACGATAATGACGACGACAATAACGATAATGACGACGACAATGACAATAATGACGATGACAATGACGATAATGACGATGACAATGACGATAATGACGACGACAATGACGATAATGACGACGACAATGACAATAATGACGACGACAATGACGATAATGACGACGATAATGACGACGACAATAACGATAATGACGACGACAATGACGATAATGACGACGACAATGACGATAATGACGACGACAATGACGATAATGACGACGACAATAACGATAATGACGACAACAACTACAACAACGAAAACAGCAACAGTGACGACAAATAAAATAAATAACACGACAATAACAACGCCGCCAGCACCTTCGACAACTAACCCAACCCAGACGACAGCGCCTAAAGCTACGGGAAACAGCACTGCCTCTTGAATACCTTTAGTCCTCTTTCGTCTCAGTGACCCTATCATGTTCTTAACCTCCCTTATAAATAAATTAAAACACATTATCGACCTTATAAGAGGGTAGAAGAAGGATCACAATAGAATAAACGAGTAACTAATTTCATACTCTTTTTTGTGGGCCCATTGCGTGTGTTTTTTTACCCACCCCCCCTCCCCTTATATAAAGCCTGGGTGGATTATAGACCTTCTGGAGGGGTACAAGAAGGGTTAGAATACGTTAAAAGGTCATTGGAATATAGGGTGGGGTAGGGTAGGGTGAGGGGGAGGGAGAGGAATCAGGTGTTTAAAAAGCGACAGTATTTACCTTTGTGAATCAAAACAAATCACACGTCAGGTTATGAGTTCTGGGGAGGGTTGGTGGGGAGGTACTGATGGTTGTTTGACTCTGTGGGCGGCGCTGGGTAAATCATAAGAGGATGTGGCGGTTTTCCGTGGGCGTGTTAGGTGGTCTGGAAGTAACTGTAGTGAGGTTAGATTATGATGAGGTGGTGGAGCAGTAAGGGGTGGTGGTAGTGGTAGAGGGCGCCCCCCACACCACCACCACTACCACCACTATCACAGGACCACACCCACACACACTTTCTCACTCACGACGCCTCAAGGTCCTCCTCCTCCTCCTCCTCTTCATCTTCATCTTCTTTTCCTTCTCCACCTGTTCTCTCCCTCCAGCCATCCCCTGTGCGCTCTCTCTCTCTCTCTCTCTCTCTCTCTCTCTCTCTCTCTCTCTCCCTACTTCTTCGCTTTTTCCTTCTCCTCCAGTCCTCTCCCTCCCCCTTTCTTCATTATCTCTCCTCCTCCCCCTCTTTTACCTCCTACTTCCCTTCTCCTCCTCATTCCTCTCCTACGAACTCTTCCACCACCAGCCACACCCCCACCCACCTCACAACCACCACCACCACCATCACCACCACCACCTTCACCAACCACTACCACACAACGAGCAAATACGTAATCCTAATCGCTACGCTTCAGTAATATTAACTATGACCCTTGGGCTCTGTGGTAATAATAGTATTTTAATTATCAGGGTCATTCACTAGCTTATCCAGTGTTCTGATTTTCCTCCTTTATTGCATGTTCTTGTTCTTTCGTATTCGTTTGGTCTTCACGCGCAGAGGCCCAGGGTTCGATTCCTGACTAGTGAGGTAGTGTTGGTATTATGGACGTCCGTGTATATATATGGACTGTTGAGATATACATATATACTTTTTTATGGAACTTTCAGGAACTGTTATTACTGAGAACTTAATTGTGTCATATTATCACCGGATGATCTTAATCCCACTTGAGTACGATGATCTTAGCTTCTTGAGTACGATGAATTGGCCACTTGATTACGATGACTTTATCCCTTGAGTACAATGTCTTAACAACCTCTGAATGTAATGATCTTTTCTCAAAAGTAAAACGACATTGATATACCTACATTACTATCTACTTTATTCTACTTAAATTAGTATAAAAAAGTATATCCACGTCATATATATATATACTGTAAGTGACACAAGGTATAATAAATAATGCAGGTATAAACTAAAGAAGAACTACATTGTTATTTATTACAGATGCACAGGGCATTTTCAATCACCTGTATTGAGGTAGGGCGTGGTCTAGGTTAGGTTAGGTTAGGTTAGGTTAGGTTAGGTTAGGGTCTGATACAACGTGAAAGGAATGTAGGAAGAATTAAAGAGGGAGATGGAGGAGGGAGGAAAAATCTCTCAGATAGTGAGTTAGTTAGTCACTGAGGGAGAGTCAAAGGTTGGTCTTTGTTAATAGATAATAGAGAGAGAGAGAGAGAGAGAGAGAGAGAGAGAGAGACGGAGGGGGATGGAATAAAGAGATAAGAAAAAGAGAGATAATATTAGAGAAAGAAGAGAGAAAAATAAACAATCACCAAGACATAAAACAAAACAAATAAACAAAATTAGAGGAAAACAAATTTGAAAAGAAAAGAGAGAGAGAAAAAGGGAAAATTACCAAGAAAAGAGACAAAGAAAGACACAGACAGACACATTGACAGCCAAGGAAAAAAAGATAAAGAGTGAAACCAAGAATGAGAGACAAAGAGAGAGAGAGAGAGAGAGAGAGAGAGAGAGAGAGAGAGAGAGAGAGAGAGAGAGAGAGAACACACAGAAAATACCATCATTGAGACAGTTATCAGCTCTCTCTCTCTCTCTTTTTCTATTTGTGTGTGTATGTGTGTGTGTGTGTGTGTGTGTGTTTTATAGATCCTGTCTTGTAGGTACAGTCGGGGACAAAAGTTCTCTCTCTGTCGTAAAATTGAGTCACGTGAATGAGTCTCTGAACTGACTTACCCCCCCTGACTGTTGTGCTTCATTTGGCGTCGACGTTTGATTCATTATGGACGGTAGAAAACTTTTGACCCCCGACTGTACGTGTTCCTGTTAGATCGTGTCCAGGTACGTGATGAGTGGTAGTGTCCGTAACTGTGTCTCGTCCAGTAAACAAGAGAGTTAGGATGAAGGGAGTGGTGGGGAAACAAGTCATGCAGAAGAGTGGTACATACTTATTCCACTTATGAGGATCTCTGTGTCGTGTAGAATTTTTTTTTTTTTAACCTTTGCTGTAGGAAGCGGCTCGTGTCCTCGCTCTCTATCCTTGGTAGATCTTGAAAGAAAAAAAAATGTCTCTAGATTGTCATACCTTGGATCTCATTTTATCACCATATTATCATGTATATTGTTGATGAATGCGTTATCATTCATTTACATTCTAGTCCCGGACGCTGCTTCGTGTTGCCTCATGATTCCTGTATTTGTGCTCTCATGTGGCGGCACAGATAACCCGCCACAGTCTATGTACCTCAGGCTGACATAACTGCACCATGTTGATCTGTGCCCCACAATGTAACGGGATATTCTTCTCCTTGCAAAGATTATTACTCTCATATGCATAAACAAAATCTTTTAAGTGTGGGATTTAGAGGAACATTGAAGGAGACTAACAGCGCAGGGTGTAAGACGCTACCCTGAGGTACTGTATACTTCGTTCCAGTTGGTTGACTATCTCACTACCTTAGAGCACGACCATGATGATTGTCAACAAGATGGTGTAAGACTTTAATTGCATATTCCGAGCACCATTATTTTTTTTTTTAAGTTCTCATGGTGTTAGACCAAAGGTGCTACCGAGGGCCAGTTAAGGGACGTGAAGGCGATAGAGTGCGGTATCAACATGCCATTCAGTGTGCTGTATCCACGCTGCCCCTAAATGGCCAGAAGTGTTATGGGATCTACTTCCATGTGTCTCTCCATCTGATTCTCTTTTTCTCCCTCCTTCTATTTCCTTCTCCCTCTCCTCCAATCTCTTGTTCTCACTCTTCTTTCTTCAACACCTTTCCCTTCCTTCATTCCTTCCTCCCTGTTCTCTTACCCTCATTTCTCACCTGTCTCTTCCTCCTCCTTCCCCCTTCATCACCTTTCTTTCTCTCCCTTTACCTCCCGTCTCCCTCCTTCCCCCTCCTCCCACCAACCTCTCCCTTTCCCTACCTCCCCTTTCCTCCCCCCTACCACGCCCTCCTCTCTTACCTCACCTATTTACCTCACTATAAACTGGGTCATCTTCCATCATGTCACCGTCTCAGTGTCGTAACTCTGGCCTCGGCCGCTAGAGGCGTGAAGATCGCTAGGTAATGGTGACCAATTTGGTAATTAATGATTGTCTTCGTCTTAAAGTCCCGCTGTCTTGTTTCGTCACGAAGATCTCAACCCCCCACACTCTCCCACTCACTCTTCTTCCCTCTCCCTTCCCTCTCCCTTCCCCCTCCTCTTTCCTCCCATTCACTTTCCTCCCCTCTTTGCCCCCCCCCATCCTCTCATCTACTTGTTTCTTTTCTTTCTTTCGTCTTCCCTTCTTTCCTCTACTTGTTATCCTTCTACTCAGTTTCTTCTTCGTCTTCTTTTCTCCCCCTTCTTCTCACTTCCTTTTCCTATTTATCTTCTTCTTCGTCTTCCATCTTCTTTTCCCTCTTTGCCTCATCTTTCTTCTTCACTTGATCGTCTAATTCTTCCTCTCTCTTCTTCTTATCGCTTCTTATCTCCATTCTGTTCTTTTATACCGGTAATTCTCTCTCTCTCTCTCTCTCTCTCTCTCTCTCTCTCTCTCTAACCATTATTTGTGGCTGACTGTAGACTCTCCTTCACCACTACCGTCACCACCATCACCACCACCACCATCACCACCACCACCATCACCACCAACACCATTACTACCACCATCACCAAACAAAAAATTAAGGTAAAATATTATATAATGCAAATAATTATCTAACTTATTATGTATCTTACTTAGGTTTAACTTTATTAGTGTAATTTTATTTTTTTTTATTTATATAATTCAATTTAAGTCAACAGGTTAATTTATTTTATATTTATTTACTTACGACGAAGAATCACCATACAAGTCACTGTTGATTAGAGCCCAGTGGTCAACTCTACGGGTATTAACTTCCAGGTTACATCAAAGATATTTTTTCTTATTTTTATTTATTTTCTTTTTTTCTTTCTTCACAGACAGTTCTAAAACAAAAATCATTCCTATTGATTTTTTTTTTGCTTAGAACAAATTAAAACTTATAGATACTGCGAAATATTTAGAGTGAAATGTTTGAGGTTATCCACTTTATAATCCGTATTTAAAATCCGCCTTGAGTTGACCCACAGGTAACATCAGTCAACCAGTGAATCACAATACCATCAGAAAAACTCCTTGTTGGGGAAGCTGTTAATGTGTGTAAGAAAATGTATATGAAATAATGAGAAAATAATGAGGCAAGATGTGAAAAGGTTTGCAGACGAAGGAGAGAGAGAGAGGGAGAAAGGGCGGGAAAGAGAGGGAAGGAGGGAGAG